AGTAATCCAACTCCATGTTGACGTTGTTCACCACCAGAATGAATAAATACGTATTGTTCTTTTTGGGAGCATCCTGTACCATTCCAAGTAGTTTGTGAAGTCCTAGTATGTCAATGATAATTATTTCTGCTTCGTGGATTAAGTTGTCCAATTTTTCTTCCATACACTACACGAACATTCTATGTTGCAATATTGTTGTTGTTTGTTACTGAGCACAAATCTACAGAGAGGGCTTTCTATGCTCTGCCCACCACGGGTATCGAAACCAGGTTTCTAGCGGTACAAGTCCGCAGTCATACCACTGTGCCACTGGGGGGCTATGTTGCAATAATTAGGTGCTTCTTTCTCGCTTTCAAGTAGACATCGTCCGATGATTACCTCCTTCCTGACAGATATGAACAACAATCGTCATTTGTCCTCTCTACTCTCCAGATGGTAAATAGTAGCCCAAGAGTTGGCAGTAGGTTGTGTTTATTAGTCTATCACTCAAATTAGCGCAGATAGCCTTCGAGTAACTTTACGCGAAATTCAAAACAACCAACTAACTGAATGTTTTTAGGTATCGCATAAGGCTCTAAATTAATTTGGAAAACCCATAATAGCCAAATTCGAACGAAAATATAGAGATGAGAAAATTATATCAAGAATCTGTCAGGTAAAAATTCAGGAACTCCACCACAGAACATTATTAAAATATACAAACAATATATACGACCAGTAATCGAATATGCCAGACCAGCATGGATAAACATTTCATCGACCCTAATCAAAAGACAATTACAATCTCAATTTACTTTTTTTATAAATTTGTTCTTCGTAACCGAGACTAATGGCGCCTAATTAATTTATTTTTTCATCATGACTCGTACAAAAGTGCCGAATTCAATTCAACTTTACTTTTTTAACGTAGCATCAGATAACTTTTACTACAATATATATATAATTTGAATATCTTTTGTGATACAAAACAGTTTAATAACCAACTCATCATTCCAGAATATCACCATTTTAATTACTTCTTATCATATGAAAGCAGCCATGGTAAATGCTTTAAAGAATTAATTTGTCCATTGATCTCTGTATAACCAATGACCTCCAAAGATATAACAACAATTATACAAATTATTTCATTTTATCAGGGGGTGTCATGTAAACAAAAATAGCTTCATGGTGTATTTAAGTGTTTTACACTCACAAAAAAGAAACGTATCATTCTATAGGCATTTGAA